TGAACATCTGGCTGACTGTGCGATGATCCATAATAATAATAATAATAATAATAATAATAATAATAATAATATCTAGTTGAAAACAATCTCTTTCCATCTGAGCAGAAAGGAAACCGCCCCAATAGCAGAGGAACAAAAGATCAACTCCTAATAGACAAAATGATCTTGGAAAACTGCAAGAAAAGGAAGACCAACCTGAATGTGGCATGGATTGACTACAAAAAGGCATTTGACTCTCTGCCACATGACTGGATAATCAAGTGCCTAGAAATAACAGGAGTCAGTAGAAACATCAGAAAATCTGTGCAAAGATCGATGGCACAATGGAAGACACAGTTGCAGATCAATGGTGAGAGACTGGGAGAGGTTAATATCAAGAGAGGAATATTTCAAGGAGATTCATTGTCACCATTACTATTTGTTATTGCACTGTTTCCTCTTTCAACAATACTGAATAACTCAGGACATGGCTATCAAACATCAAAAACATCTGCCAGACTATCCCATCTCCTTTACATGGATGATCTGAAGCTATATGGAAAAACATCATCTGAAACAGAATCGCTGCTCAACACTGTCCGTATATATAGCCAAGATATTGTTATGGAGTTTGGCTTGGACAAATGTGCCACGCTTACTATCAAACAAGGAAAAGTAGTGAAAACTGAAGGAATCAAGATGCCCCACGAAAATAACATTAAGAGTCTGGATGAGGAAGAATACTACAAATACTTGGGTATCCTTCAAGATGACAACATCAAGCACACTGAAGTCAAGAAAAAGATTAGAGGTGAATACATCAAGAGAGTGAAGAAGATCTTAAAGTCCAAACTCAATGGAGGAAATACCATAAAGGCAATCAACACCTGGGCAATTCCAGTCATTAGGTACACAGCTGGAATAGTGGACTGGAATCAAGCAGAACTAAAAGCAATGGATAGGCAGACCAGAAAAATAATGACAATGAATCATGCCCTTCATCCATGCAGTGACATTGACAGACTTTATCTACCAAGGCAAATAGGTGGGCGTGGAATGCTACAAGTACATCAGATGGTTGAAGAAGAAAAATTGGCTTTGGAAGAATATCTGAAGAACAATGATGAAGATGCACTGAAATTAGTATATCAGGAAGGCTTACTGACTACTGGAGAGACCAAACTGGCCTACAAGAAAGACCAAATGAAGAACAGAATAGAGGCATGGGAAGACAAAGCACTACATGGCCAATACATGAAAAAAATAGCTGGGAAAGCAGATATTAACAAGACCTGGCAATAGCTAAGAGCAGAAAAATTGAAGAAAGAGACCGAGGGACTAATTCTGGCTGCACAAGACCAAGCCTTAAGGACAAATGCATATAAAGTCAAAATTGAGAATACAGCAACAGACAGTAAGTGCTGCCTATGCAAAGAAGCTGAAGAAACAGTGGACCACCTGGTAAGCTGTTGCAAGAAGATTGCACAGACTGACTACAAGCAATGGCATGACAAAGTAGCAACAATAGTGCATTGGAAGATCTGCAAAAAATATCATTTGCCTGTAAGCAAAAACTGGTGGGATCATAAAATAGAGAAAGTCATAGAAAATGATAAAATTAAATTGCTATGGGACTTCAGAATTCAAACAGACAAGCACCTGCAACATAACACCCCAGACTTAACAATTGTCGATACGAAAGACAAAAAAGTCTGGATAGTGGACGTGGCAGTGCCTGGAGATAGCAGAATAGAAGAGAAAGAACTGGAGAAGATAACAAAATACAAAGACCTACAAATAGAAATAGAAAGACTGTGGCAAAAGCAAGCAAGGGTAGTACCAATATTCATAGGCGCCTTGGGTGCAATCCCAAAACAACTGGAGCACCACTTGAACACCATTGGCATTGACAAATTCGCTATTAGTCAATTGCAAAAGGCGGCCTTACTAGGAACTGCTTCCATCCTGCGACGATATCTGTAATATCATCAAACATCCACATCTGCCTATCCCAGGTCCTGGGTAAGGACTCGATAGGTAGACAAAATGCCAAATCCAGTCTGAACATCTGGCTGACTGTGCAATGATCAATAATAATAATAATAATAATAATAATAATAATAATAATAATAATAATGTTGGAAGGTCATCAAGTCCAACCCCCTGCTCAGGCAGGTAATCCTATACCATTTTGGACAAATGGCTGTCCAGTCTCTTCTTAAAAACTTCCAGTGTTGGAGCATTCACAACTTCTGGAGGCAGGTTGTTCCACTGGTTAATTGTTCTAACTGTCAGGAAGTTTCTCCTTAGTTCTAGGTTGCTTCTCTCTTTGGTTAGTTTCCATCCATTGCTTCTTTTCCTGCCTTCAGGTGCTTTGGAAAATAGCTTGACTCTCTCTTCTACTTAATGAAGAAATAATCAGAAAACATAAGGGATCTAAGCTAGGCTGGGAATTTGAAAGAGAATTTTGGAAGGAAACCATGACACATCAATTCCATATTTTTGACAAGGACACTACAAGAAATTTTTCATGAAGCCAACAGGATGGAGCTTGATCTGAGAGTAATTACTTTTTTGGGAAAAAAAAGGAACAAATATGTTGTCATAAAGACCTTATTGTGCAACACATCAGACAAAACAACTTTATCAGTTTCTAAAGGTGGATGTTTATTGGTCATACCGTGTAGCATATTAAAAGACAAAGTGTGATACGCTAGCACAATGTTTGCCGTGATATGCTAGCATGTGATCCACTACATGTCACTCTACTGGCTAAAGTGAATGGAAGCTGGTCTGTGTCTGGACTGCTGCATGTTGCTCATTCTTGGTTTAATAGAATGTACAGAAATAGGAGACACCTGAATCAAAGAAAAGTTTAAAAAATTTATCCAGGAAAAAAATGTAGTATGAATCTTTCTCCAGGAAAGAATCTCTTGTATACTATGCAGTATTTGGATCCCAAAATGGGGAAAATTGCTCTTAACCTGGCATGGTTGTATACCTGTAAGCAGCTTGTTAAAGAAGACCCATCTTTTTCTAGGTCTTGCTTGTTACTCATGAGGTCCCATTGAAATGAAGGCTTCCTCATTGGTTCAGGTCAGATTAATGAGAAGCATCTTTCCACTGCTCAACTAGTTATGATTGACAAGTGGATTGGCAGATTTTTAGCATTCCAATTTCCAAAAATGTTTCTCTGTTCGCTTTCCTCTAGCTTTAGACTTATGAGTTTGGGGATAAACAGACCTGAAGTTTTTGCCTTGTTAATTGCAGTATGCCAGATTTTCTGAAACTAAAAACTGTGGATAAATCTTAGAATTAAGTTTTTGAAAAGCTATCAAATATCTCACTAAAACCATGTTGTGGTTTGTTTGCAACTTAGCATATCTCAATGAATTTCGAAACTGACTTATTTAAGCGAACTATCCTTAAGTTAAACAACTGTTTTGCTTTTGGATGACATGTGAAACTGAGATCACTTAAAACAAGAAGAACGTATTAACTCCTCCTGGATATACAAGAAAAGGGTTTGCATGTTCAACTTATGTCTGATCGTGCATGATTTGTTAAATCAAAGTTTCCCAGGTGAGAGACCAAAATTTATGTTGCTCCTAAGCATGGGCCAACTCTTACGCTAAGGAGCTGTTAGCTTGATTACTTTAGTCCAATATCTAGATAAATAAATATGAGAGCCTGCAATTTGTTTATATAGTTCTGGGAATCATTGTTTTTAAGACTATACTCTTCATGCAGTGAATTAGTTAAGCCATTAAATTTGTAGCAAAAAGAATTAGATAATTCACAGTAGCAATTTCTTACAAGTGATAAATAACAGATAACACTTCTTGTTCCTTGTAAAAGCAATGTTATTAAAAATAAAAATAACTATAAAATATGCTTTGATGTAGCATAAAGAGTGTTACAATCACATTTCTCAATTGTTAAGAAGACCCGCTAAACACAGTATAAATTTTGTAGTGCACAAAATTTGCACTTCAGGCTCACTTCGGTGAGCCTGAAAATAAACTGTAGTTTTCTTAAGACATTTGAAACAGAAGTGACCTTAAAGTATTTGCTACTCTTTTTTCTGGTTCACATTGAATCCTGAAAAGCATCACTTGTGGTTTATTGAATAACGCTGAAGTACTATACTTGTTCAAATCTGAAATGCTTCTTCTGCAACTTTGGGAATAATATTAATATGTCCATCTCTGTCAATCTGAGTGAAGTAATGTAAGCAGCAACCTTATTTAATCACATAATGAGGAACAAGTATTAAACTCTTGGGCTGGATTGTGATCTTAATCAACCAGCCTTCATTAGCTAACACAAAAGTACTCTAGAAAACAGTGCATAAGCAAGAAACGAGAATGCATTTTGAATGCACAGCATGAACCTAATGCCATTAGGAAGATTTCTGCTTGTCCTTTGTAAGACATTTAACAAGATAGCAACTGATGCTTTAGATTAGTTCTGCCAAGCCACAAAGCCTTGTAATCCTGGAAACTCCAACTTCACAACATCTGGAGAGCTTTTGATCCCATCTCTGTCATGGAGAATATGTTTTTATCTTTCCTTTGTTGAAAATATTTTGATGGCACTTCAAATATTAACAAACGTCTCTGGGTAATAAATAAATTATTGAGAGTGGAGAGGACTGTTCTAAAATTAGACAAATAACTGATTAATGTAACTGGCTGCCAGTCTTCTAGAGAAAGGCCTTAGTTTTTTTGAGAAAGGTTTTTTTGGCCTTAGTTTCTTACCATGTATGTATCACTAAAATGAATGACAAATGAATTACATAAGTTATTCTTGCATTCATTTCATCGACTGCACAAAATCAACTTTGAATGAGAAAAACTCCATTTGGAGCAATAAGCCTGTTGGTGAAATGGTTTTCTATGGTTGTTATACCAACGAACCTATTGCCTTTGGTTTGCCTACTCAAGGCTTTTCCTCCAGCTTCCTCTTGTGTAATCTTTCATTGCAGAACATTTCTTCCTCAAAGAAATGAGTAAAGTTTCCTGTCTCCTTTGAGAAAGTAGAGAAGGTGGGACCACTGGCAGATTCTTTAGAACCCCTAGCTCTCTGGTATGTGCAATTTGCTCCTTTTAAAACTCAAATGCCATTCTGGTGTTTACTGTAAAATGATTGTTTGGAATTAATGATAGAGAACAGGCATTTGCTCAGTTCTGTTGCTGTTTTCCTTTTTTCAAAGATCAGTGTGACTTCCTCTTTTCCTGTAGTTCTGCAGTGCAGATAAGCAGCAAGGAGATAGGGCATGGCCAGAGAAAATTAAACATTTTACATTCCCACTAATTTCAAGGAGAGAGATTTAAATAAGTCAGCTTGTTTAAAAAAGGGCTTATTTATGAATTACTGCCTTCAGTGCATGCATTGTAATCTGAGGACAGAAACCTTTTCCTTTGGATTTTAGCCTGCTCATTGGACTCAATGAATTTTCATAGTGAAATGTAGGGGACCTGCTAACAAAACAGTTCAGGTTCAGAATAAAGATTTTATTACTGCAATCAAAACAAGTACAAATGAGTATATTCTTTGTTGTCAGAACTTGTACCATCGATAATTTGCTTTTAAAGCTAAGCCTGTGCATACACTCATGTTTTTGGATGGTTTGTATCACAGTTGTATTTATCTGCACTTGTTTATGTTTTGCGACATCCGTTGGGCTGATTGGAAAAAGGTCCAACAATCTGAATGTTATACTGTGCCCTAGAAACTTTGATTAGCTTTATAGTATTTTATACATTATTACATTATACATAGTATAAATATAGAAATACAGCAAGAGCAGCAAACCAGGTCTCACCTGTTAGATTGCACAAAAACAAAGGGCACATCTCAATGTTTCTTGGATTCTGCTTCAAGTTGTGAATTGCTTTTCTACACTGTTTAACTTTAGCCTTTAGACCAGAAGTGTTTTATAAGCCTCATTTCAATGCTCTTCAATTCAAGCTAGGAGAGAAATTATTCAGAACTCAGAAGAGGTGAAAGGCAGCCTGTTATGCTTCTTCATAGATACTAAGACATCCTATAACAACTGTCACAAAACTTTATATAAAACTTTCCTTAGAAGTTTGGAAAAACTGGGAATAATGTTTGCCTCCATTTCCTGTTCTCCTATTCCTTGATTACCCCAGTTACTAAGTTAAATATGACTGGTTCAAGGAAGGGAGAGGGAGGCAGGCAGAGAGAGCTTGGCTCCTGATGGGAAATTTAGCTCTGCTTAATGTACTTTGCAGAAAAATTGATTATAAGTTTCAAGTGTTCTGACACATTTACAGGAATTAATTCTAAAAATAAAATATGTGTGGTGCTCTTTTCTTTAAAAATTAAAATCTTTCTAATTTGTATTGGAGAAATTTCAAATTGGAACATATTATCATCTTTTGGGGTATTCTCAGTTTTATTTAAAATTTTAAATAAGGGAATAAGAAATGAGGAAAAATGTAAAAGTATAGAAGAATTTTTGCTGATTGATTTTAATGGGATTTTACTGTTCATTTATATACAATGGTTCAGTGCAAGAGCTTAATTCAGTATTTATTGTTATGTGTCAGATTTATTATTTCAAAATGCTATAAAACTAAAGTACATCTTTTTGGCAATGGTATTACAAAGTGTGGAAAAGAAGTTAGGGTGCAAAAATCATGCAACACAAATTTAGCACAACAAAATTCTGAAGAATTTTTAAATTAAACATTGTTTTATTCAAATTTGGTCTTATTTTTACTGATATTAATGAAGTAATCTTATATAGATTGCTCCTCTCTGTATTACTTTTTCAAGGCATAAGTACTGATGTTTTGCACTTTTCCTTAAGACTGCAAATATACTTAATATTTATAAGTATATTATACTAATTATGCATTGTTTTATGGCCTTTTGTCTAATTTCTATTTTCTTGTCTTGTTTTTCTGTTTTTAAAATATATTTTTAGTTGATCACTACTTAATTATTCTTCAAGAAACAGAAAACAATCAGGAGGTCCTAACAGTTATTCCAATTAATGAAATACACTTGTTTATCTTCTTGGATATAAACCAGCAAACTGCTTACTAAAATCATGAATAGACACCAATGTCATATGTGCTTGTCACTTTCACATATTAAGCCTGGAAAAAAAGTAATTACAAATTAAGCAACTGGTGAAAGCCAGCCTCATAGTAAATAGCAAAAAATGGCCTTTACTATTTTTCTGTACCAGACAGAAGGAACAAATAAATCAGGAAATAAATGAGATCAATTTGAAAGGCGATGTAAGGACCCACCTCAACTAACAACCCAAGAAAGCAGAACTCTTGAAACAGGCATTGTCCCAAAAGGAACTTTTATTAGGGGTTAGTGACAGTAAGGAAGTCAAGGCGAGATCTGGGGAAAATTCCATTTAAACAGTATAGTTAAACTAGCAATCTTCCTCCTCCCGCCAAAGTCATCTCAAGGTCTTCTCCAGTTTCGTTTCTCCGTAACTGTCTCCATGATAAAGGAGAAAACAATTTCCTCTCAAGTGGATAGGGGCAGGAGAGGAAAAGCGGAAAGCGAAAGTTATCCCAAGCGAAAGCAAATTCCGCCCCCAGCAGAATGGCAGGCCCCGAACAAGAGCACATATGCTGGGAAAACAATAAGGATTTGGGGACTTGACGTACCTCCCCCAAGAAGAACGGGAAATCCACCTAGAAAACAGAAAAGGAAGGGGAAAAGAAACAATACAGACATATCAATCAGGTTTATCAGGCTATTTAGCATGGAAATATTTGAGAAGTCTAGGGGCTCTAACATGTTTCTTGTACACCCACTCATTCTGGGTGTACTAGGCCACTAGGTACTGAGTGACTCCGTGATGTTTTTGAGAATCCGAAATATCTTTAATTTCAAAGTGTTTTTCATCTCAGGTGCCCACACCCATGATAGGTGTGGGCACCTGAGATGCAGGAGGCCTAAGGTTAGAGGTAACCTCCGGTTTGAGTAAGCTGCAGTGGAAAACAGAATGGATTTTTGGTAAGTTTCTTGGCAAGTCCAATTCAACCGTCACAGGGTTGATGATGTGCTTGACAGGAAAAGGTCTTACAAATTTAGGGCCTAATTTCTTTGAAGGTTGTAAAGATTGCAAATACTTAGTGGAGAGGTATACCCTGTCCCCAACTTTATGTGGTTTTTGTTCCACCCTCCGTTTATCGGCTTGAGCCTTATAGGCATCCCTGACTACTGGCCAGGTATTCTGTAACTGTTTAATTGATTGCTGCAAGAAAGGAATTTCAGGTTCCTTGGTAGGGAATTCAGGCATGGCTATGAAGGTCATAGCTACTTGAAATGGAGTGAAACCTGTACTGGAATGCACAGCCTTATTATAAGCAACTTCAGCAAACAGGTAACAGGTCAGACCAGGCAGTACATTTTTGTACTGAATTCGCTTTTAACCGTATGAGTTCATACCCTTCATTTCTTAGATAATCATCTTTCTTCTGGCATTCTCTCACTGTATTCTACCTATCAAATGAAGATGTTTCATTTTCAATTCATCAGAATTAACCACTGCGATCTGATCGGTACACCCCAAACTGGAGTCTCTTCGTTTAGCCAAAGTGTCACTTCAGCACGTGTGCAACAATCTTTCACTGTGATGCTGATTTGTGCAATTAACAGGAAACATGTTATACAAGTTACTTCCTTTCCAGTGTTATTATTTCTGTTTGTTCCACAATGATTCTTACTCTCTCCTTCTCCCCCACTTTTTTTACAGTTTTTTACCATCGAAGCAAACTTTTTAGATGCAATAACAAAAGTATATCTTGTTTTGCTGCAGGTAAGCAATCCATTAATTTGATGTATTTTTTACTATTAACTCTGATTCTTATGCAGGGCTGGTTAGGAGTCTTTGAATGGCTCCCTCTCAATTCAAGGAAGCTTTTTTTCTAATGTTGAAATTTTGTACTTTCTCTGCACCCAAAGAGCAACTCTGAATTTCTTTCCAAGTTAGCAATGGCATTGGGCATTAATCACACTCTCTGGGTACATGTACATTTTGGCACCTATTCAATAAATCTTATAATATTACAAATAATTGACTCTTCCTTATCTCATAATAACACTGCATTTCCACCATCAGTATAAATACTTTCCCAATCTTCTTATCAGCTTTGCTGTATATAAAAACCAACATGGATTTCTTTGAAGTAGAAGTAACATCATCTGCCAAATGGAATTCTTTGCAAGATAGATAAATGACAATAGAAATATCTATTATTCCTCACTCCAACTCAAAATCTGTTCAAATGTTATAGTTGGAAATATGTATCGAGGAAATATAGATAGCAATAGCAATGGCATTAAGACTTACCTACTGCTTCATAGTGCTTTATGGCACTCTCTGGATGATTTACAAAGTCTTCACTTTACTGACCTCGGAAGGATGGAAGGCTGAGTCAACCTTGAGCCGGTCAGGATTGAACTCATGGCAGTGGGCAGAGTTAGCTTGCAATACTGCATTCTAACCACTCTGCCACCACACCGAGAAAGGTAAATATTTTTAAAATATTTATTGTATTATGGAAAGGGTGTTAATTAGGAAAGGTTATGCAAAATAGGAACTGTGGACTTCTTACCAAAAAAAAAAAAAAAAACCCATCCAATAACAATTGATGAGGCAGGAAGATGATACCTAGGATCATCTTTGAAAGGATTCAAAGAAAATGTTAAGAATTGTGCTCGAGGTTACCCGCTGTGTTACAAATGTATACTTTGATTGAAAGTAGGAGTCAATTAACTTGGATCTAATCTCTGGATAAATATCTTTACCTACTGGTTAAAACTATGCCCCAGCCCTAGTGGATTGACCCATCTAATATTGGCAGACAACTACAAATCTGACTGAAAGGTAGAATAAATTCTAGCTGCCCTTACAAGAGCAGAAACCAATGTTAACAAAACAAAACAGTGATGGGTTTCCTCTCCCTTATTTACATAGTAAAGTCCTCATTTCAGTTCTGACCTGGAAATTCATATTTGGATTTGGCAAGGGGGGTATTTTCAGATGACTTAGAAAGAAACGGTTTTAGTCCTGTCTGGACTGGGCAGCTGAAGATTTCTCTTATCTGAATGCATGGAGGCACTGGAAATTCAGGCAGTTTCAGTCCTTCCTTACCATTTGAAGGGCCTTTTGTCATGCTGTACTGTTTTAGAAATTAGCTACTGTTATAGCCAAAGAGCAATGATCAGAGCATTTTCTCAGAGTTGCACAAGGAAACATATGAATTGTTTTTTACTCCGGATGATAATAAGAGAATTAAAGGAATGGAATATTTCAAGCCAGGGCAAGCAAGTGGATGCATTCTGTATCCTCTGGACCAGGGCTTTTCAACCTTTTTACCGATTGTATCACTTTTAGGATATGGCAATATTCGAGTACCACCTAGCAAGGTGTCAAAAACTTGATGACCAAAAAAAAAAAAAAAAAAACCTGTTCAAAGTTGCAATTGCACTGAAATGACTTATGACCATTTTTCACACTTACGACCATTACAGCATGCCCAGTATCATGTGATTTATATTTGGATGCTTGGCAACTGATTCATATTTATAATGGTCACAGTGTTCCAGAGTCATGTGATCCCCTTCTGCAACCTTTTTTTTTTTTTTTTTTTTATTGAAATTTTTCAAAAGTTTTACAAATAAAAATCCACCCCCCCCTCCCCAACCACCCCACCCCCCCCCGACTTCCCAGAACTGAATATAGGATTATTTAACAAATATTTTAAAAATAACATTTGCAATTTATAAAATAATTAATAATAATAATAAAAATCACAGTAATAATATATATAATAATAATATACATAACATAAACTTTAAAATGAATAATATATACTAAAAAAGAAAAAAAAAAAAATAAAAAGAGAAGAGAGAGAGAGAAAGAAGAAAGAAGAAAGTAGACGAAGAATAAAGCATATATATATAAAAAAAAAATATATGAATAATAATACATAAAAAATGTATATATATAAAAAAGAAAAAGAAGAAAGAAAGAAAGAAAAAACAATCATTACAAATTATAAAAAGGCTAAATAATATTTTTCCATATCCAAATTATGTTGTATAAAATTTATCCATTTTTCCCATACCGCAAAAAATTTTTCTTGAGATTGCTCCTTTAAGAAAGCCGAAATCTTTGCCATTTCTGCCAAATACGAAACTTTATGAAACCATTCTTGTAAAGTAGGCAAAGATTCCTTCTTCCAATATTGTCCTATTAACAACCTAGCGGCTGTAATCAAATTTAACATCAATATAACCTCCTTAGCATCACAGTCAATAACAATACCTAGTAAAAATAATTGCGGAGTAAATTTTACCCTCCTTTTAAAAATTCTTTGAATATTCCACCATATCTTAATCCAAAAAGCTTTTATATGCTTACACGTCCACCAAATATGGTAATAGGTAGCATCCAAATATCCACATCTCCAGCATTTCGGCTGTAGATTAGGGTACATAATGGACATTTTCTTTGGGTCAAGGTGCCATCTATAAAACATCTTATAAAAATTCTCTCTTAAATTTTGCGCTTGTGTGAATTTAACATTTCTTATCCAAATAAGTTCCCAAGTATCCATTGAAATCGTTTCACCAATATTCTGTGCCCATTTAATCATACAATCTTTAACTAGTTCAAGTTCTGAATCTAATTCCACTAAAACCCCATAAACTCTCTTAATATGGGTTGGCCTTTGATCTCTTACTTGTTTTAAAAAAATTTCATCTTCTCTAAGCCAGCCCATTTTACAATCCATCTTCCATCTATCCACTATTTGTCTATATTGGAACCATGAATAAGTTAAGTTTTCATGTGTTAACTCTTCCAAAGATTTTAACTGCCAGTCTTGGCCATCCCATCTTAATAACTGTACGTAAGAGACCTTGTCCATATTTACCCCTTTCCTTATACCTTCTATGGCATGCCGAGGTATAGCCCATAATGGTATTTTGAAGTCACTTTTATAATACTTTCTCCACACTCTTAGCAAAGAGTTTCTTATAATATGAGACTTAAAAACCCAATCCACTTTTTTATTAAATATTAAATAGGCATGCCATCCAAAAAATAGGTCCCAGCCTTCCAAATGAAGTATTTCTGTATTTGTTAAATTCACCCAGTCGCTAATCAATGTCAATACTACAGCATCATAATACAATTTCATATTTGGTACCTTGAGTCCACCTCTCTCACGAAAATCTTGCATTATTTTAAGTTTCACCCTTGGTTTTTTCCCTGCCCAAACAAATTTATTAATACCTTTTTGCCATTCATCTAAATTACGTTCGTTCTTTAAGATAGGTAACATTTGGAACAAAAAAATAAACTTTGGCAGGACATTCATTTTAATAACTGCAATTCTGCCCATAAGGGATAACTGTAAATTATTCCAGTTTTTTAAATCCTTCTGTACCTCCATCCACAGCTTTTCATAATTATTTTTATACAATTTTACATTAGAAGCAGATAATGTAACCCCCAAATATTTTACCTTATCAACAATTTCAAAGTCTGTTAAGTTAACTAGAGCCTGTTTATCACCATTAGTCATGTTTTTAGCTAATATTTTGGTCTTATTATTATTAATTTTAAAGCCAGAAACACGTCCATATTGTTGAATCAATTGTAATAATTTCACCACCGAAGAAACAGGTTGAGACAAAGTAACAACCAAGTCATCTGCAAAGGCTCTTAATTTATATTCTTTTTTATTAATTTCTATTCCTTTTATTTCTTGAGACTCCCGAATTTTAATCAACAAAATTTCCAGTGTTAAAACAAACAATAACGGAGACAACGGGCATCCCTGTCTTGTTCCTTTTTCTATTACAAAAGCCTCTGACAAACCCCCATTTACAATAATTTGAGCAGTCTGTTTTTGATATATATTGGATAATACTTGTAATATATTTTGTCCAAAATTCATCTCCTTGATTAAACACAGCATAAACTGCCAATTCACTTGATCAAAGGCTTTTTCAGCATCCAAAAATATCAGGCCTGCAGAGACTTGGTTATTCTTTTCTAAATACTCTAATAAATTAATAATTTGTCTAACGTTATTCTTCATATACCTTCCAGTTATAAAACCCGATTGATCCCTATGTATAAACTGCTGCAAGATCCCCATAAGCCTGTTAGCTAAAATTTTTGCAAAAATTTTGTAATCCACATTTAAAAGAGATATAGGCCTATAATTTTTAGGCAAAGTAAGATCTTGACTATCTTTTGGAATCAATGATATAAATGCATTACGCCAGGATGGAGGGATCTCTAACCCCTGTAATAAATTATTAAACAGTTCACACAACGGTTGAGTCATCTCTTCTACTAAAGCTTTATAATAAATAGATGTCAACCCATCCGTACCCGGCGCTTTGCCCAATTTCAATTGTTTAATAGCTGTAACAATTTCTTCCTTAGTAATTAAACCATTAATCTTTTTTTCCTGATCTTCTGTTAATTTAGGAAAGTTAACTTTGCCTAAATAATTATTTATATCTGTAATTTGAATATTAGTACCCTTATATAATTTTTGATAGTATTCTAAAAAAGATTTCTTAATCAATTCTTTCTGATAAACCAATTTACCATTATAATTTATTTTATCTATATTCCTCTGTTTCTGTTTTTTTCTTAACTGATAAGCCAACCATCTCCCTGGTTTATTAGCATTACAAAATGTATTTTGTTTCATAAATAGCAAATTAGTTGCAGCTTGATCAGCCATCAGCATGTTAAATTGTGTTTTTAACAATTTTAAAGCTCCTTTA